CTTCTAGCTTTTCAGATCCTCGAGTTATGAACCGACCCCAAAAAAACTTTGGCGGGCCCGTACGCGCGTGCCACGCGGGTGTTGGCGCCAATTTTGTGGATGGGGGCCCGTACGTGCATGTAGATTATGTCCCCAACGTTTCAGTCCCGTAGCTTTTGCCGGTCTCGAGATGAAAAATCGGTACAGAGGCCCAGCGCGCACACAGACACACACAGACACACACACACACAAACAACACACACACAGACAACCTCTCGTCAATATGCGTTTTTCGCATTGCATTGCTGCAAAAAACGCATAATAAAGCAAACCTGAATTTGCGAATAAAAATGAAAAAAGCAAGACCAAGAAATAAAAACCTGTGAATGAAAGCAAAAAAAAAAGTGAGCTTACAGAATGGGAATTGTCTTAAAAAAGCCCTTTTTCAGTAGGAGGCTTCCCTATGTATGAAGCTGTTGCTTAGGTAAAACTGAGAGCCCCGAACCTTCCTCCTGCCTCGAATTCCCGAACGCGACGTCCCTTCGCCCTTCCCCATCTACTGCATCTGAAGCCGTTTGCACCACGGTGGGGTAAGCCAGAAAAATTCCGCAAATCGTGTATGGCGCCGTCTGAGCCGAGCCGACTTTTAGTAATTGCAGTACGGAGACACTTTACTCTTTTCCCAGCTGATTCACCTTATAACTTTTATTTTTAGGCGCAAATGCAGACAATGACAATGCTGGTGCAGATTTCGATACAATACGTAAGTCTTTCACTTAGTACTGCTGTAATCAGATTAGCCGTTAATTCATAGCTTATTTCTCCAGCTTTTCGTAGCCGGCAACTTTTGCAGTTGTTTTGACCAATGCTGTGGTCAGCCTTCTGGCAGTCCTGCGACATATTTCGTTTTCTGAAATAATTGCCCCTTGAAAAAAACACCTTTCAAAGTCTTTTTGCGGATTTATGATGTCCTTTATTGTTCTGAACATCACAGAGCTTCATTTGGGACGTTGCAGCTGTAGATACTTTGTTGACTAAGAATTCCGTGGTTCTACAGTGCCACCTAATACTGTTGTACCATAGTTTATAAACATTAATTGAAATTACTTTTTTTATTTCTCTAGTATGATCAAGGAAAAGTTCGTTAAAATATTGAACTATTGTGCTAATTATGTCTGACATTCAAATATACATTCTTAGTCGTTTCAAAATTTTTGCTCTCCAAAGTTCAGACAATCTATGCATTTATAGTGAGAATATGCCGAAAGCAAAATGGCCCCCTCTTTTCTGCTGTTGGGAAGCGTCGAATTATGTTTTATTTACTGCCAAAGCGTTAATTTTGAAAGAAGATGATTATGATAGTATAAACACAGTGACAATAACGATAATAGCAATCATAAGTAATAAAAATAATAATATTGACAATAATGGTATCACTGGTGACAGTATTTGTGGGCGTTGATGAAATCACTAATAGTAATGATAATGATAATGATAATGATAATGATAATAATAATAATAATAACAATAATAATAATAACAATAATAATAATAATAATAACAATAACAATAATAATAATAGTAGCAATAATAATAGTAATAATGAAGTAACAGTATTAAGCAGTGCTTCATAATTACTGCATATTGTATCATTTTCGCCAAGAAGCTTTCTATTTGTTAAAAAAGAGAAACAGTATTGGCGAAGCTTCTTTTTTTTTTGTATCTTTGTGTTTTGAATATCTAATCATAATAATATGTAAATTTTGCAGCGCTACACGTTTTGAATGCAGGCGAATGGGTATCCGTTGATGTCATAGTAAAGTTCCGTGGTACCTACGATGACAGAGAGCTAAGAGGACAACAAGCAACTGTGAAAAGTGTTGACACACTTGTGAGCTTCAATTCTCATACTCTTTTGATTATCAGCTGATTTTCAATGGTTCAGACTTTCACTTTTTTATTTTGTTCCTTGTTTACGACAGTTTTCTGTTGCAGGAAGGCCGCTGTACCGTTTATTCATTTGAATTGGACCGCGAAATAACAGTATATTTCGATCAAATTGAACCGATTAGACCAGAACAGGGCGATAGGGTAAGTCCTTGCCACCACTTGATTATCGTTATCATTTTTCTGGGTTATCATGGCTGTTATTACCCCACCAAGAACAGCAATACTGTCCGAGCATCCAATCCCAGTTTCCAATGTCGGCGATTTTGCTGAAATGCTCCTGGACGCTGGTCGCAACTATGTTTGTTCCTTCGATTCTGGACTGTCTACCTTCACTTAGTATGCATCGCCTGTCCCACTTGTATATGCCTCCACTTTAGAAACCGTCAATTTGGTTATTATTTCCTCGTTGGTATCATTTACCAATTTGTGGTGTCCACCGATTCTAGGTAAATCGAGCAACATTCCTCTTCATCGG